AAGGTGGTTACTTCACACACTGAAGCTCGTGATTTTGCGCTGATTTGACACTTGACTGACTCCCGACTGCCATCCAGAGCGCAAGAGAAGTCAGTAGAACCTTCGAGGTGACAAACCTGCAAGAAAGCGCCACTCCCTGCTCAATTTACTCCTTAATTTTTAGGAAAGTTGGTTGAACACCCACTGGAGCAACCAACTTTCATCGAAGTCGCTATCACTATAAATTTTCATGATGTTGCTCCCAGCTTGGGCTTGCGACTAGCTGGTTTGGAGGTGAAAGCGTTGTGATTCGTGAATTGTGAATGTCTCTGTAAACTTTTATCCCTGGAAACATTTTGGCCTGGGGAGTATTATGAAAATGGTGATCTTCAGCCACAATCTTCCCCAGCCTACTAAAGCTCAACTGATGATTGGTGAATTCCCTGGAACACTGTGTTGAGCAGGGAATGGTGCTTTCTTGAAAGTGTGCCGAGTCGAAGACTCGATGGACTTCTCCTGTGCTCTGGATGGCAGTTTTGAGTCAGTGAAGTGTCTAGTCAAGTCGGCGGAATGGCGTGAGCTCCAGTAGAGGGAGGAACCAAGTTTCACAGAGAATATTAGAAAACAGATAAAAATGTTCTCTTGTTTTGATTTATAAGTGCGTAGTGTGCAGCCTGCCTGGTTTCCATGGGAACATTTTGACAAAAACGAAATTGTATTTCTGTAAACCCGTAGGATGAGGAACCCTACGAACAGAGTTCATGGTGACACAAACTCTGAACATTCTATGGAACTCTTGCACCTGCGTTTTTGGACTCGCACACAACTTACACACGTGTGGCCATGAATAGGACACAGGCTGGCCTTTTTCAAAAACATTCGTTGCTACGCAGTGTGAATTACTCATAATATTTTTTCCTTTTTTTGGCGCCTATTTCTCCAAAAGGTGGCCCATAACGAATTTAAACTTGTGGACAGAATCTGATGTTTAGTGTTTGGGACATGTTTGACATTGATAATTGCCTTGCTTCATAACTCGTTTCGATAATAATAAAAATGTAGTCAGGTTACTGTCTGGTGATCGGTTTGTTTCCTTCCCTCAAGTTTGTGTGCATTTATATGATTACTAAGAATAACAGTAGGTAGCAAAGCGAAGGAAACACTGTGTTGAAAACTGCTACTTCCGCCTTCTACAAAAACTTTGTGACATTTTTTTAAGGCTGCGCAAAGCTCTGGAATTATTCCGTTTGACTTGGAATAACACTCGTGGTAATATATGACCTGTTTACGAGCTTTGTAATGTTACAAAGAAAAAAAGCTTATCGGACGAATGAGATTGAGTTTATTCAGAGTCTTCGTCGTCGTGTCATTGTCACCTGACGACGCTGATTGGGCATCGCCAACAGTCGCTGCTTCCGCTCGCATTTCATTCAGATTCTGTCAGCTGCAGTGATGATCCGACCCTCGACTTTGGCTATATTCAGTCGTTCCAACCTCCGACCTCCATTATTCCGTGCAACGAGTCGTACAAGCACATCCACATACTTCACATTTTCTCGGCAGGATAATCCTCCCAGGGTTCTGCAACGGCTTCGAGGAGGTCCCTGCGAGTCCATACTTGCCAACCCAGCCAAAGCAAATCTCCCTTAGTCACACACCTGGTTTCCCTTTATTTTCTCTCATTTCCCTTATTTTCCTTGTTTTCGCCAATTTCGACCATTTTCTCTTTTTTTAACCTCACTTCTCAACTCAAACTTCACTTTTTTGGAGAAATTTATGATTATTTTTGCGTATCTTTCCTCAATTGTTTGGCAATTTTTTCTTTCTTTTTATTCATTTCTAACCCATTGCTCATTGGGGGACCAACACCTGAGTTTATTTATTGTCAGATCGCCCCTACATGTGTGATTCTGTAAAATGCAGGGCCGCATGTGCCCTTGTCACACCACAAAACAACCTTTTTATGAACAGTCATTGTTCAGTGCCAATGCCGGTAGTTTTTCGATCAAGTCAAAAATCCCCGGTATGCCGCTAGTTACCGTTGTTTCCCGGTATAATACCGGGAAAACCGGTATGGTTGGCAAGTAGGCGAGTCCCCTTTGCGACAAAGGACACCTCTGGCTGGAGAAAGACGAAGAAAGCCAGGTCGTTGACAGTGCGACGATCCTGAGTCTTCGCTGGTTGCACTACGACTGAAATGTTTCGTCTTGCCGTGCGAGCAAACCAGCGTTATGTTCTCACGCTGTGTATGAGTCCGCGCACTGTAACGAGCCTGACCAGCTTCGGGGCAGCGAATGCCGCTTGGCTCCGTGTGCCAGCCACGAGGTCCACTTCGTCACCGTGTCAGTTTCGGGCAAGTGAGTGTTAGTTTTTCTTCATTTGACTCGTGAATTCCTGTCGGCAACGTCCGCACTCATGGTTTCCGTGGAGAATCTGTTCGGGATCAGCCAAACTTACCTCGGTATGAATGCGAATTGTCGATGACAGCCCTTGGCGCGGTTTGTTGAGCAGGTTATTGCTCAATAACACCATTGAAAAAAGGTCACGAAGTTTTTTGTATGCGGAGGAATTACCCACTGTTATTCTCAAACATGTAGAGCTTTCCGTTATATCTGCAGTACAGAGGGAGATAAATCTGAGTTCAAACTTCTAGGATGGTCCATATATCAATTCCCAGATCATCAGTCAACAAGCTACATGTACCTCGAAATCATGAATATTCACATGAAACGTTTTCCTCTCTCTATTTCCTCATCTACATGTGCTACATGCAGTTTGGGTATACTATGTGTGGGTACAGTTAGACTGTGTCCCACCAGCCTGTGTAGTGTCACAATAAGTGTGACTCTTGGAGCCTGAGGGAAATGTGGACACAGTCAATGCTTGGATTATAGCTACACTGTACACTGTAGCTCGTAGTTATTTGTACTTTGAAGTATAATTATTTCTTTGCAATACTAATACAGGTCCTCTCTCGTTATAATGAATCCAGTTAGTGCATAAACCCCGTTAGTAAAATTAATAGAATGCTGAAATCCCCTTGCGAAACGTGGTCTATACAACTGTTTCCAGGACCGGCACAGAATACTTCGTTAGTACATAAAATTCGTTATAACGACCCTTGAGCCAAGTCCCTGGAGTACCAAACCCTCAGTATTATTATAATTTTGTCCAATCAGGACCAGGGCGGAAACACACCTGATAAAGCCAAAAATATGAAGCATATTCTATATGGTGTATCCGTAGATTTGTATGAACTTGTTGGATCTCAGGAACAGCCGTGATGGAGATTTTCTATTATCTTATTTTGAGTTGAAGTGGCAATAAATTATGTTGTGTTGAGGGTATTACATATAAGTATGAATGTATGCTTCTTATACCTTTAGTTGCCAGTCCTGTTATAAGATAAGAACTTTTTTCCGACCACCCTGAGATTAGAGAGGTTAAGTGACTCGTTTTTCATGGACGAAACGAGTGCTGACACCCGGTCCAGGTTAGAGTCTCGTTGACATCTCGTTCAGAAGATTCGTTTTTACGAATCCGGCCTGTCTGACTCGTATGCAGCTCTGAGATCCATCTGCCCCAGAAAGTGTGAAAACGTTTTGACTTTAAATTGTTTCATCTTTGTTGATTTGTTGATTATCGATTCTTTCGTTTTCACTTTCGTTGTGTTTGGTAAGAATTTTTCCTTTCCTTTTTCCGCAATGTCAAGTGAAGAGCAGGCTCTCCCAATGTCCCCCTCCACCCCCGTGTCTCCCTCTGGAGCAACTCCTGTAGAATGCAGAAGAATTCGGAAATTTGCAGTCTTGGATGACATCAAGCTGCTGAACTTGATCTTGTCCTCCGGACATGAAAACGTCTTTGCCTTACCGCAAGGGAATAAAGCTTGGCAGGACATCGGCAACGGCCTGTCACGGTCGGAACAGTTAGTTCTCGATGATGTGCTGACATGACGTCGAACGTTCGCGCGTTTGTATTAAAAAGTCTTTGCGCAAAGAAATTTTGCAGAAATATCTTTCAGATTTTCTCTCCCCCGTATTTACGATGGCAATCATGATGTGACTCGCTGTCTTCTCGTGCACGAGTCACTGAACCAATTTTGGGCACCGCACGAGCCAAGTACAAAATGAAATCGATCTCGTTTCGTTTACGAGTTGACAACGAATCACTGAACCTCTCTATTATCTACTAACGTGGGAGGACCTGTATCGGGTTCATTTTCTTACTTTCTATTGATCAAGCCAAAAACCTGTTGGCTGAATTCACTTTTATGTCAAATACTAAACAAATGGATCGAAATGGATTTCACAAAGCTTACCCTAAAATGAAAACTTCACCACTTGTAGCGAGAAATACACTGATTCCAATGTTGAAGGTCCCAGGTTGATCTGAGCAGCTGTTCCCGAACTATAGTAGTTTGTAGTTTGCACAACATTTGGTGACATCATGTTGACGTCATTAACTTGCCCAGGCTAGGCCGGATTTATGATGTCAGAGAGATGGGGATATTTCAGTATTTTGGCTCTCCAGTGTCCCAAAGAAGTCCGATGTTTTTCACACTTCGGATTGGGACATATGGCACCCTACCAGTATCCCGACCGGAAAACATTCTAACATGCAAGTCATCGTTGCAGAGAAACAAGGAAGAAATTGGTTTTCCCAATAAACTCCCATACAAAGTCTATCTCTCTGACATCATAAATCCGGCCTAGTCTGGGCAAGTTAATGACGTCATCATGATGTCACCAAATTTTGTGCAAACTTTAACCTGCTATAACTCGGGAACGGCTGTTCCGATCAACCTGGGACCTACACCACTGGAATCAGTGCATTTTTTGCTACAAGTGGTGAAGTTCCTGGAAATAAACAAGGGGAAATATAGGGGTAGCTGCAGAACAAAGCTGTTAGCTCCCGCGTTAGTAAAATCAGCTCACCAGCGGTATTGCGAACCATTAGCTTTCATCTTGAAGCTCAAGCGATCTAACGTGTTCTGCGTGTGTCTATTTCTCTGTTGTGTCCAGAGTCGTTTGTCAGTGTTTGCTTTTGCAAGCATGGCAGTATTCTGTGCGACCGCATTCGCAACATGCCATCCTAACTGCACATGCACCAGCACCCATGTGACGTGCAAAAACGTACCAGTGCCGAGTTTGTCAGTGTTTAAAACCTCCACCACGAATCTGTAAGACTTCAATCGCACAATATGGTGTAGTTGTTTTGCAACACAGAGTTATGTTTGGTGTGGGTATTGTTTACGGTTTCCAGGCAACAGGGCTTTGCTACGGCTTAGGGTATGCAAGCAAAATAGTTGTTTTTGTGGCCACATACGTACCATCTAAAAAATGAAAGGGAAACTGTCACCATAAGTTCCTTTGTTTTATGTTCTAAATAGGGCTGAGACGATCGTGTATTTTCACCTATCGATTACTCTTTAGCTAAACAATCGATTAATCGATTATAATCGTTAATGATAGCTTGCATACCGTCCTACCGGTAGGACCACGGATCCTACCGGTAGGACCCAAGAATTCGGGCTGCAAAAGTGCTTTTGGTTGAGAAATTTTTTGAAACAATTGTTGAGATGAGGTCTTTGTCAGGCAAAGTAATGGGGCAAAATGCAAGGCTATGTCCAGTGCATTGCGTATGCGCAATTTTATCGATTGTCAAAATGGCCGCACATAATCCTGTCGGTGCGCTAGCAACTCTGTCCAAAGTGAATTTTGACCATGGCACATCAATTGTGGTGAGGTCCTAATGTTTTTATTAGCTTGCCAAGGCCGTGGAATGCATAATACCATACTCCGTTTCCATGGTTACCATGGGTTGTTACCATGGTTTTCGTAGTATGCCTTGTGTGATCACGTCTAAAATTTGTGGACTCCTTCATTAGCCCCTTAGCAACAGTTTAGGGTCAAGTTTCAGGTCAATGTTAGAACAGAGGCCATGCAGCATGTCTGTGTATGATAATCCTACCGGTAGGTCCTACCGGTAGGACCGAGGTCTATGCAAGCTATCATTAACAAATAGTGTCAGAATTTTGTGCAAATTTTACTCTGTTTCCAATAGCTAGGCCTTCATAATACCAAAAATCTGCATTACTGACAGGGTAGCTCCGAAACATGGCAGTTGTGAAGTCAATTTAACCTCAAAATATGCACCATGTCCCTGGCAACTGCATACTCACAGTGGAAACTGATTCAAACTTCACAAAATGAGGGTTTTCAGTACTTTTTGGACTCAAAAATTCCCAACGTGTAATGTATAATGTAACGATTACTTGATTGATAAGGAATTATCAATCGCTTACCGAGTAATTGGTATAATTGTTTCAGCCCTAGTTGTAATCATTTGGCTCCTGATAATGGCTGTTCATTTATTTTTGGTCTAAAGAGAGTAGAAGTGTGTGAAAACTTGAATTTAAGGTGTTCTGTTTATTGACATTCTAAAACTAGTGTCACCTCATCGCTGATTTATTTATTTGTTTTCTACAAGTAATTATTTTATTATAGTGCGTGTGCACACGCGCGGATCCTTCACAGAATATTAGTGGTCCGGTCATGTTGAGCCACGCTCTATTATTCATGTTGTTAGTAGAAGCAAGAGTACATAACCCCAAGAGTGTGCAACTGCCTGCACAACCTCTATGCTGTGCTGCGACGGCAGAACTTCACATCACGTGACATGGTTCAAAAGGTTATGCTGGCAAACAGTGCAAAGTGACCACAAGAGAGTTCTACCCAAAGCTGGGCTGCGTACAACCCAGTATCTATCATGCACTAGAGTGCACGGGTTCATCACGTGATGTGAAGTTCTGCCGTCGCAGACCCCATAGCTGGAGTTGCACACTCTTGGGGTTATGTACTCTTGGTAGAAGTGTATCTAAGCTATTTTAGCCTTGCAAATCAGAATTTTGTTCCTCATCAACTCAAGTTGTTGTGTGCCAAGAGTTTAAGGGCGCTTTAGACCGCCGTAATTGGCAATGTTTACGCTTGCTTGACCGATGCGTACACTTTAGAACTACGGGAACATAATAGCTGTAGTGCATGTGGGTATAATAATGTTGTGTGTGTGTGTGTGTGTGTGTATTTTGTCTTCTCCCTCAGTCATTGTTATCTATTTTTCTCATTGTCTAATTATTCTCCGCGAGGTCGCGGTTCTTTTTTTATGTGAGTGAGGTATGTCAAGTACCTCCTCCCGTACAGGTGAAGTAGAGTAACCCTCTTGCGCATGTTGTACGTAATGTAATGATTGATACGTACTTTCGATATTGATTTCGCTGGTGCACACGCTGGTGCAGTGCTGGTGCACGCGCTGGTGCACGCGCTGATGCACGCGCTGGTGCAGCCGGTTGTTTCCGTTGTACGTGATGCAGCTTGTTGAGGAGAAGGGTTTTCAATATCTTGTGTTCAGTTCTTCTTGCTTCTGGCCTGGTCGAGGTCGTGCTTTTTTCTTCTGTAAACTTCTTGTGCATTTTGGAATTGAAATTAATAATTATAGTCCAACTTATATCCTTGCGCTGGTCTGGTGGTGGATAATTCCACAACAACGTGGTGCCGAAACCCGTGGTACCGAACCCCGGTTTTGAGTGGACCGTTGGCGCTTTGTGGTTAGGTTCTCGAAGAGTATTAATTTTGTTATTTCACTGCCTGTTTCAGTAGTAATGGCGTCGTCTGCTGGACACTCCTTGTTGCGGCCGTATCGTGGAGGAGATGATGACCTGGAAGCGTTCTTGCTGAAATTCCGCGTGGTGTTACGGATACAGAAATGGACGTCGGAGGCTAAAAGAATGGACCACTTTCCTTTATTCCTAGACAAGGACGCGTTCACTGTTTGGAGTGCGCTGCCGGACGTCGAGCAGACCAGTGAGGAGGTTGTCCATGGTGCGCTCCGAGCCGCTTTCTGCATCACGCCAGCAGAGGCGTATAAGAAGTTTGTGGCCAGAACTCTTCGTCGGGGAGAGAGCGTTGACGTCTACTTGGCCGACTTGAGGAGATTTCTCCGCCAGAGTGGTCGTATTGAAGCGCGTGACACTTCGTAAGGGAAGTCGTGTGACCCGGTGCTCCTGGAGCAATTTCTGCTCGGCATTCCGCAGGCGCTGGCATGTCAGGTGCGCCTCCAGCATGCCTTGCACTCTATGACTGTGGATCAGTGTGCGGATCAAGTTCGCGTGTTGGTTTCTGCAACCCAGGTGTCGGCACCAGTACAGGGTGCACATTCTGCGCATTTGCAGCGACGTCGTCTAGTAGCAGCGGACCTAGCAAGCGGTCTGTGTTGTGTTACCGGTGTAATAAGGTCGGCCATATTCAGCGGAATTGCCCGCAGCTACCTAAGTCACCAGCATCCGGCGAACCTGTTTGCTATGGTTGCAAGGAGCGAGGCCACGTCCGCAGTGCGTGCCCCCAGCGGAAGGGGTGTGCAGGAGCAGCTGCGAGTGAGAATGTCGGCCATGTCTGCGTCGCGTCGGATATTGATGGGCCCGCAGTAGTGTTGCCACGGATCTTCTTGCCTGTGAAGCGTTGTGATGCTGTGGCGTTTCGGCATTGTGTTGCTGCCATCGACTCGTGCTCAACACACACGTTGGTGTCTCGTCAGTTGGCAGAGGACTTGGCACTGGAGGTGACGACGTCAACGCCTGATATCATCACCGTTGACGGCAATACACTCAAGGTATTGGGCTCGGCTGTTCTGGATGTCAAGCGGGTGGACGAGACGGTATTTCTGCCTTTCTCGTCTGTGTCTGTATCAATTGTTCCGGAGTTGAGTGTTGTGAATGCGTACTTGCTTCTGGGCCTCAACCTGATATCGCAGCATGGCGGAGTCGACCTCAAGTACGCGGACTCCAAGCTCGTCGGAGCATCTTTCGGTCAAGCAGCTTCAGCTTCCGCAGATGTGCCCAGTTCGGACGTGCGCAGTGATGATGGTGATTCGCCTCAGCTGCTACGCCATGTTACCGTGGAGCATGACGGGGAAGATGTCATTCTGACCACTGCGGATGGGTCAGTTCTTTGGTGTGCTGATGTTGGCTACTGGGAGCTAACGTGGGCATGGAAAGATGAACCCCCACTCGTCCAGTCGGGTCAGGCATTGGTGAATATTCCCGGCATAGCCTGTCAACAGACCAGGAGTCACAGTTCTGCGAGGAGGTGGACATGTGGATCCGCAATGGATGGTTGGTACCCCATGACCAAGCAGTCCATGGTGAGCCTGGTGCTGTGTTGCCCTTGTTGGCGGTGGCCCAGACGCACAAGGAGTCCACCCCTGTCCGCCTGTGTTTGGACTACCGGCAACTGAACAAGTTGATTGTGTCGCATCCAGGTTTGGACGTGCCTGTTTGCCAAGAGAAGTTGCGTCAGTGGAGGTCTATTGGCAACGCCGACAGCCACGTGTTGCTGGACATCAGCAAGGCTTACCTCAACATCCGCATCGCGCCAGCTCTCGCCAAGTTCCAAACGGTCGTCTGGAGGGGCCAGCTGTTTGCAATGGAGAGGATGGGCTTCGGTCTATCGATTGCGCCCAAATTCATGGACATAATCGTCAAGTGGGTCCTCCGTGCGTATGCTGATGTGGACAACTATGTCGACGATTTGTATGTTCCGAAGCCTCGTCTGCGTGATGTCACCGATCAGTTGTCGCAGTACGGGTTGTCCACCAAGCCAGCGGAGCCAGTCGTCTCTGCTAGGGTACTTGGTCTGCAGCTGTCAGAGTCTGCAGATGGCCAAGTGAGGTGGAAGCGTCGTGGTGACGTCATGCCGACTTGTCAGCCCGATGCCATCACACGACGCGAGATTTTCAAGTGGTGTGGCAAGCTGATCAGCCACTATCCCGTCGGCTCCTGGCTGCGCCCAGCGTGCAGGTATCTGAAGCGTCTGTCTAGCCTTCAGCCTGGATGGGATGATCCAGTGTCTCATGAAGTCGTCGCTTGTTGTGCGGAAGTCATTCACCGTCTGCAGACTGATGACCCTGCGCAAGGTGTGTGGTCAGTTCCTGAAGGCGCACAGTGGTCGTTGTGGTGTGATGCTTCGGACATCGCACATGGTGCTGTCATTCAGGCCGATGGTATGATTGTCGAGGATGGCTGCTGGCTGCGGCAGAAGGACGACCGGCGACACATTAACATCGCTGAGCTTGACGCCGTGATCAAGGGGTTGAACCTTGCCGTGCAGTGGCAAGTGAAGGAGCTCA